TTGATAGAGAGTTTTGTTACCTGGAATCATTCGTAACGTATACTAATGATTTTATTCTAATTTATATTTCAGTTTAAATTTGTGGGACTCAAGAATTTCCCATGTACCCCTGAGAGCCTGTGTAAGGTGCTGTCCATGGATTTCCCTTTTGAGGTAACCATTGTCATTATTGTTTGGATGTGACTGTAGGATACAGGAAACTTAGTTACACAGAGTCTTAAGACACCTTCTGACTCTGCTGTGTAAAAGCATCAGAAAAAGGCTGGAAGCTGATTCCTGCGAAAGGATATTCTCGCTGCCCTTCAGAGCCTCATCTACACCCTGCTAGGTCAGTCACCCTGTCTCTTTGCACCAGCAGTGCACTCAGTAGTCTGGGATAAGTCAGAATGCCAGAGCTGGAAGGGGCCTTAAATAGCTCATCCAGCTCCCTCATTTTACAGATGGAGAAACTGAGGCCCAGAGAGGGTCAGGGACTTGTGTTGCCAGATCCTTCTTATATGCCTTTTGCTGCTACATGTATGACAACTAGTATGACAACTAGGCTATTTGTTTGACTGCCACAGCTGGTTGTAAAGTGGGGCTTCTGTGATTGACGGGCTCCAGAACCCCTAACGCTTTCTTCCTCCAAAGTAAATGGTCCGTGGGGATAGGACTACTTGCTGAGCAATGGGGTTGAAGTAGGTGATCAACTTACCATGGTTTGCCCAGGACTTTCCCAGTTTTAGCACTGAAAGTCCCACATCCCCAGAAGCCCCTCAGTCTGGGCAGAGTTTTGTCATCTTCCAAACCTGCAGTTGCGCTCCTGAGGCTCAACAAGCAACCTTTCCTTTGGCCATCATACCCTTTAAAATTCTGCCTAGTCACCCTCAGATATTTTCTTGAACTGGATATAATTTTGCTAAAAGAATCACAGCTTCCTGAATGAGGAAGTGGCAAAGGCTGAGTTGCTTTCATTTCTGGGAGTCAATTAAGAAGGTGGTAAGAACACCATCTTTATTTATAACCCTTATGCCCAAGTGACAATAAGTGCTTTTTAGAGGTGAGTCACTGAATCACAGAAAAGAAAATGAGGGACTGTAGGAGGTCTTCCCGTTGAGAAAAACTGAGCTTCCCAGAACATAGCTCGTAGACAATTTCGAGGGAGGTTCAGGCAGCCAAAAATGGCTTGGGGAGCAGAGCTTCTCTGGTTGGCCTGTTTGCCCTGTGCTCAGCCAACTAGCACCTCCAGCGTGCCTATCCAATTCCCCTGCTTTGTTCCATGCATGAACACATCCTTGCTATAGAGACTTGTAGTGGGTAGAAAGTACATGGAATCTCGGAACAGAAGACCTACCTAGGTTCAAGTTCACTATCTGCTTCACACTCACTGTGTGTCTTTAGGGAGCCCCCAAAACTGCCTGAACCCGAGCAGCCCCATCTCAAACACTGTCTTGGTGGGTGAGAGGGTGAAATGAAATAGTGAGTATGAAAGTACCCTGTAAACAGGAAAGTAGTGTTTATGTTTTATTTTCTAAAGTTTTGTTTTCTAGGCATTTTTTCATTTAGAAGAATTGCATGTGTGAGAAAGGAGGAATCTTTTTCTTCTGACAGGGACCCAGAGAAAGGAGTTGGGCCACAAGAGCTCCTTGAAACGTGGCCCCAGAAGTCATTTTGATCCCTGGTTTCCTCTCTCGTAGGTGGATGGGCTTCTCTTCTACCACAAGCAGACCCACTACAGCCCTGGAAGCACTCCCCTGGTGGGCTGGCTGCGCCCCTACATGGTGTCAGATGTTCTTGGTGTTGCTGTGCCAGCTGGTCCACTGACCACCAAGCCAGAATATGCTGGGCACCAGCTCCAGCAGATTGTTGCACACAAGAGGAGCCAGAGGGAGGGTACGAAGGAGATCACACACAAGGCCTCTGAGAATGGACACTACGAATTAGAGCACCTGTCTACCCCCAAGCTGAAGAGTCCTCCCCGTTGTCCAGACCACCCTGGGAGCCTCATGGAGAACTAAAGAGAGCAGCCTCCTTTGGGAGTCATGGGACAGTGCCTGAACCCAGAAGGAATCTGGGGACGAGGACAGTGACTACAACAGGTGACTTCATTTTACAGTGGGTTTTCCAAAGGCACTCCAGCTGGAAACTAGCTTATCTCCTATCTAAAATACTGGCTCAAACAGCTGGAGGGTTGGTTACCACATTGGGTAGTATTCAGATTGAGTTGAGTAGCTCCTAGTATTAAAAGTGTATCCCAGATCCCCAATGTAAATGTATATTATTCTTAAGAAAGAAGTTGTTTGTGATTCTTAAGCTTTAGACAGCCATGAATCCCCCCCTCCCTCTGCCCCCCAGCCTACCTAAACCATGATTGTTCAAGTCTTGGCACATTGCACTCTGTTTTTAGCACTCAAGCATTCTGCTGAGTTTCCAGTTACTGGTATTTGGTAACGTCATTTTTCTGAAAGGTCTTACCAGGAACTGCAGTTCTTAGTATTTGAATATGTTCCCTCTTCTGAGAAGACAAGTGTGATTTTCTTTGGTTTAGACATTGCCAGAGATAAAATGGCAAATGAAGTTCATTCACTCATTCAACAAATGGTTGAGCACCTACTTGGAGATAAGCTTTTTGCTAGGCCTGTGAGCCCTAGAGTGGCTTAGGAGAGTGGGTTATGGGGATGGACAGGACTGGGTCCCTGCCCTTGAGGAATTCACAGTCTAGTGGGACTGTAAACCCACCAGCAGATAGCACGTCAAGTTGGTGAGATGATTGCTTTAGTGCAGCAAGGTGCATAGAGCACGGGGACCTGGGGAAGAGCAGAGGGAGGCTTCTCGGGGAGGTTACAGAAGTGTGCTCTGCAGACAAGGCAGGGAGGAGTTCCCACAGAGGTAGTAGGGTATGCAGCTGCACCACTCCAGAGCAGGGCAGGCCTTGCTTTGGGAACTAAAGTCGGTTCAGCATGGCTTGAGTATGAAGAAGGATTGGAGAACTGTGGGGAAGGAGGCCGAAGAGAGGTGGGCTGATCGTTCAGGGCCTGGTGTGTTGTGCAGGTGTTGATTTTATGGCATGGATGAAAGGGAGTCAGTGAGGAGCCTTGAGCAGATGGATTCCATTCAGATTTGTGTCTTAGAGCTCTTTGGCAGCTGTAGGGGTGGAAGATGGCATCTAAAACTAACCAATTAGTTTCTGCTCTGGGTGTTCAGGAAGTACATTCCATTTTCCATGGCCTCACTCTGCTCCCTGCACTGCTTCCCACCTTTCTAGGGACTTCTATTGGACAACGAGACTTCACCATTCCACTTCAACAGTACTAGTGTCCCATGGACAGAAATTCAGAGGGATCCAGGTTAGAGCTTGTCTCTTAAGATACACAACTGTCCCTTTGTGTTGATTAGTTCAGGGGACAGATCCGGGCAGAAGTAGTGGTTAAGTGGAGCCTGATTACACAAATTCAGCACGTCCCGTGGAACTAGCCTCAGCGTCCGGCTCTTAGAGAGCTGCTCAAGCTGACTCTGTAAAATAGGAGAAGAGAGAAGGAAGAAGCCCTGCCTACCCACCCACCCACCACTGATGATCCTGCTGGCTGCACACTCAAGCGTTTGCCTACATCAATAAGCTCTTTCCTGAATTTAGGTCAGTTCTGCAATAAGAACATCGTGTTCCTCTTGCCAGGGAGCATGTTGTAGGTTGCCTGGATGTTTAGTCTCCATTTGATGATCTTCTGTTAGTCCATGCTCTCAGCATCATTTCAGGGGCTCTGCATGTGAGGATCAGTAGTGACCTGGCCAGGCTCTGCCCAGAAGGAATCAGGTCTAGGACTCTTTCCCCCAAAGGGCACTCTGGGGACAGATGCATGAGTCAAAGAACATATTAGCCAAACTTAACACCCAAGCTCAACTTGATATTGTTGAATGGTAGCTTGAAGGACGTGTCTAGGCAGAGTGCCCCTTATATTTTTAACTGAGGAGCCAGTATTATTGATCACTGAATAGCAATGTGTCTCCTGGTCATATTCCTTTGTGAATTATAAAACCACCACCTCCTGACACCTGTTTCAAAGATGGTTGTGTTATTGGTTGCTGTGATTACATATTAGCTTTTTGGCCACTCTTCTGAACAGCTCCTGGTTTCTTTTTTGTGGAATCATCTCTTTCCTAGGCAATATGGTTGGGTAGGATGAACCCGGGGGAACCACCCTCCCTCAACCAAAGGTCAGGCTTATGACTCAAGATGGGCCAATCACATGCTTCCCACCAAGAATTTGTGTCTTGAGCAGAGGAACAAAGAGTGAATCAGTTGGAATCCATTTATTTTGCCGGCGGGGGTGACGGGGTGTTTCTTGTTCTTCTTAGGAAACCTGTGAGCATCCAGTAAATTCTGTCTTGCTTAAATTAGCCAGAGCTAGTTTCTGGGCTTGCCATCAGAGAATCCTAACTGATGCCATAGCCCATTGTGGCCTAGCCTGCTTGCCTTGGCTGGAGGGCCAATTTGGCATGAGTTAGCAAGAAACTACTATCTGAGATCACATATGACATATTTTGTCTGAAGTGCCCATGCACCTAGAAAAGACCAGACTTTTCAGCCGGTGGGTGCAGAATAAGTAGTCTTAGCTATTTTAACGTTAGCCCCGAAAAGTCATGCTGGGTGCCAGTGCCTGCGTGGAAGAGTTTGTGTTAACCAAATTCACTTGTGTTTGGCAGTAATTTGTCTATGTTCATTATTTCTCCACTTTCTCATTTCTCACTCATGTCTCAACCCATTGAAAACCTGACTTCTGTTACCACCGCTTAGAGTGCTCTCATAAAGGGACCAGTGGTCTCCTGTTTTACAGATCTAAGGGACACTTCTCAGGCTTTTTCTCACCTGACTTCAGCGGCCATCTATGTGCCGATGCCCTTCCTGTCTGTATTTCTAGCCCTGAGCTCTCGACTTGTGCACATGTACATGTGTATGCATGTGTGTATATGCATATATCTTATCAGTCATTTCACAGTCACCTCAAGCTCAGCATGTCCCAGACTGAAATCGTTATCTTTCCTCCTCAGTCACCTTCAATCATGCTCTTCCTGGGATTCTTGTCGTTGTTAATGGCACTTAGTTACCCACGCTAGGAACCTAGGAATCATTCTGATGATTCCTGTCCATTTCTTACCTTTCACAGCTAATGAGTCGCCATGGCCTTTAAATCCTACCTCTCCTCCATTTCCTCTACCACCTAAGGCCTTAATTCAGGCCTTTATCATCTCTCTCCTGGAGTACTGCCAATCTCCTACCTAGTTTCCCTGCCACTCGTGTTCCCCCCTCTAATCCATTCCTCCCTGCTGCAACTAGTGGCAGAGTGATCCTTTCTAAAAATGCAAATCTGATCATGGTACTTCATGGACTTCCCATTGCCTACAAGGTACACGTGAAGTTTCTCAGCCTGCCGTGCAAGTTTCTTTATGACCTGGGCTTAGCCTATCTCTTCAGCCTCATAAATTATCTTGCTTCCTTTTCTGCCTGTTCTCCAGAAATTCTGCTTTACAGTTCCCTGTACAAATACATCCGTTTCATACTTTTTTCCCCCACATCATCCCTTCTGAGACTCCTTTTACCTGGTGAATATACTTACTCATCTTCGAAAAACTCCATTCAAGAGACACGTTTGAATTTTTGCCTGTCAGGTGGCATTAGCTCCTCTCATCTTTGTACCCTCCCCATTCCACAGAACCAGTGCTCATACTGGTTGTAATATTTGATCACACTGATTTATTTACATATCTGTTTCCCTCTCTGTGAAGTTAAGGAACCATCCGTAGACCACCTTCACTTCTGATACCAACTGCAGAGGTCAGGGGTTCCAAGACCACTTTCACTTCTGATACCAGTTGTAAGTTTAGGAGTCCCCAAGACCACCCTCAGGTTTGCTAATTTGCTAGAAGGACTCTCAGAACTCACTGGAAGCTGTTATGCTCATGGTGATGGTTTATTACAGTGAACGCCTACAGATTAAAGTCAGCCAAGGGAAGAGATGCATGGTGCAGAGTCCAGAGAAGTTCCAAATGTAGAGCTTCCAGTTGTCCTCTCCCAGTGGAGTTGTGGACAGTGTTCATTTTCCTGGCAATGATGTGTGACAATATGCACAAAGTATTGCTAACTAGGGAAGTTCACCTGAACCTTGGTGTCCAGAGTTTTTAATGGGATTTGGTCACGTAGACCTGGCTGGCTGTCCACTTGGCTGACCTCGGTCTCCAGCCCTTCCAGAGGTCGAGCTAATACCATGTGATCCAGAGTTCCCCCCTGAATCACATTGTTAGGCTACCCAGTGTAGCCCAAGCTCCCAGGTAAACAAAGACACTTCTTATCAGGCAGAACATTCCAGAGCCTTAGAGATTACCTCCCAGGAGCTGAGGACAAAGGTCAGACTTCTCTTTAAAAAACCTAACCAAACCGTTGCCATCAAGTTGATTCCGACTCACAGTGACCCCATGGGACAGAGTAGAACTGCCCCATAGGGTTTCCAAGGAGTGGCTGGTGGATTCAAACTGCCGACCTTTTTGGTTAGCAGCCGACCTTTTGCTCTTTAACCATAGCTCTTAACCACTGCGCCACCAGGGCTCCAGATCTCTCTTTGGGCAAGGTTAAATTCTGTACTACACATTGCTTATATTAGATTTCAAGCTCCTTGAAGTAAAGGACTTGGTCTTACTCATCTTTAGATCCCCAGTGCCTGGCACTTGCTGCATCAATAAATGTTTAGTAAATGAAGAAATGATGAGCTGGGATGAGAATGTAGTCTGGAGGTGACATTCCCTCCGCTTGCACAGAGTGACCCTGGGGAGAAGGCTGAATGGAAGCCTGTGACTGGCTGCTAACAGGTGGTTGGACGTGCTGCAGACTTCTAAGAACAAGAACTGTTTTCAGTTCTGTGAATGCAACTAAAAGGAATAGCCTAAAAACTACACCACACACATTGGAGGAGAGAAAGAGACCATCTGCCTAGCTACAGACTTCCCTTCTAATAAGGAAATGAGTAAAAGCCCCCACAATATTGTTTTTAAGCAAATGTGGTCTTTTGTTTTATGTTTTCTGAAAGATAGTGCAGGAAAAGTAGATAAAAGCCTTGAGATTTTAGCCTGAGTATGACTGCTTTCTTTGGTAAGATAAGCTGATTTTTGAGTCCTACCTGTCTTGGGATTCTGTGATTATGCCCTGTCTTTACATCAAAGGAGTCCTTGGGTGGTGCAGATGGTTAACACACTCAGCTACTGACCAAAAGATTGGAGGTTTGAGTCTACCCAGATGTGCCTTAGAA